GCCTGGCCTCCCTCAGCCCAGCACATCCCAGTCTCTCTGCATCCAGGTGGGCTCTGCCTGCTCCCCCTCTCCAAACCCGAGCCCCCCTGCTTCCCAGCTCGGTATCTGAGATCCCCGGCTCCATGCCCCGCCTCTGTCCATTGTCTTCTCTCCAGGTAAACAGGGTCGTAAACTGGGGCCTCCTCTCCTCGCTTCTGTCCTCTGGCTGGAACCGGCTGGTTAGGTTACTGGGTCCTCACTCTGCAGCCCATTGTTCTCCCACTGGCCAGAACCGGCTGCAGCTCCTGAGCTGGGTCTCTGGATCGGGGTCTCAGGCCACCGGTCGCTGGGGTATCCATCCTCCAGGCCATTAGCTGGGGTCCCACGTTCCCTCTCCGGTCCTCTGTAACAACAAACTCCCTCACCTCATTAAACCAGTAACACCCAGGGAAACTGAGTCCCACCCCCTCCGCATGCAAACCATTGAAACCCCACCGAAAACAAGAAAAAACAAGAAAATCCCCCACTTCGTCACATAAGTTATCATTACAAAGCTTATAATCTACTGAGTGTGATCATCCTATTTGTATAAATGTACCACTCTTGTATCTGAAACTAGAAATATGAAATATAACTCTGAGGGCCTATTGTAATTATGCAAAGTGTGGGCCATTAATGGTGGTTTGGAATCTTGATGACTCCCATTGTCTGCAGATGGCTGTGTTTACCTGTGAGTCTTCCTGTATATGTGTGTGCTGGCAAGTGGGTAATGAAGTCTCACAGTGACATGTGATCATGTCATCTGAACTGGAATCCATCTTTAACCTGGTGCTTTTCCAGTGAGGGGGGGTGGAAACTCAGAGGGAAAAAGGGTTCCTGCGTTATGCAAAAGATATATAAAGGGGTGGAAGAGAACAGAGGAGGAGAGGAGCCATCATGAAAAATCCCCTAGTTACCACCTGAGGTGGAACAAGAGCTGTACCAGGGGAAAGAATTGTGCCCAGGCCTGGGAGGGGTCCAGTCTGAGGAAAAACCATACTGAAGCATCTCTGAGGGTGAGAGTATCTGTATTCAGTTTGATTAGACATAGATTTGTGCGTTTTATTTTATTTTGCTTGGTGACTTATTTTGTTCTGTCTGTTACTACTTGGAACCACTTAAATCCTACTTTCGGTATTGAATAAAATCACTTTTTACTTATTAATTAACTCAGAGTATGTATTAATACCTGGGGGAGCAAACAGCTGTGCATATCTCTCTATCAGTGTTATAGGGGGCGAACAATTTGAGTTTGCCCTGCATAAGCTTTATACAGGGTAAAATGGATTTATTTGGGTTTAGACCCCTTTGGGAGTTGGGCATCTGAGTGTTAAAGACAGGAACACTCTGTGAGCTGCTTTCAGGTAAACCTGCAGCTTTGGGGCAAGTAATTCAGACCCTGGGTCTGTGTTGGAGCAGACGGGAGTGTCTGGCTCAGCAAGACAGGGTGCTGGGGTCCTGAGCTGGCAGGGAAAGCAGGGGGTAGAAGTAGCCTTGGCACATCGGGTGGCAGTTCCCAAGGGGGGTTCTGTGATCCAATCCGTCACATGACCTTCAGGCCAAAAAGTTTGCCCGTCCCTGTTTTACACAGTACTCCGACTGGAGCACCTAGATAAGTTGAATGGAGGACTAGATGCTCAAATTTGAGCTAGAAACACAAGCAATCTAGAAACAATAGGGATAGAAATATTTCTAATATAATTAGTGAATCTTGTATATATTGACTAAATGTTATGTTGTATGCTGAAAAACGTGTTTTAATGTGATTCTAATATTTATTTGTAACTTCAAATGAATGGTATGCTTTAGGCAGACTGTTTATCCCTGCCTGCAGTGTAGCTTCCAGATGAACACTCTGGGCCTCTTTCAATGTAATGGTGAAGGCTAATCTTGGTTGTTGCATTTGTTGGAGCCAGGCCTCACCTTTTTATAGTTAATGGATCAACATAGCACAGATTACCATTATTATAACAGGTATAACTTGTTTGCATCACACATGAAGGCAGCAGGATAGAAGGTTCTGGTTCCAGTACTCTTCCTGAAGGCAAAGTGGAACTATCAGAGCTGCAGTTCACTCCCTCAGTGTTAAGCTGTATCTGCACCAGAAAATTCACCCATTGCTTACAAGGTTGTCAGCAGTGAGTGTAGTTGAACTGGTGCCGAAAAGTGGCTATCCGCAAGTCTAGACAGGGCCAAATTCAGGAACTTGTTAAGCTCAGGCTTGATCATAGTTTGTGAAACAGTAAGCGTGGTTTGATTTAGGCACTTCTTTAGAGCCGCTTCAGGCTCGCTGCTTCCATAGCACCAAACATTTTCCACAGTTGCTACCAATGGTTCACTTCCTCTACTGGCAGCAATGGCAGGAGCCCACCATGTTGATTAATCCTGCTCAGAACCTAACAGTACAAACACCAATGACCAGCTGTATCTTGCGTACACTAGCATTTCCATTGTTGCTACCATTAGTGGAGCTGAGCCATTGGTAGAACCAGTGGGGAATTTATAGGGTAATGGGTGAGAACCTAGATACTAGTGAGTAGTGTCCTGTAAATACCTTGGAGGGTGAGAATTTTCTCTTGGAGTGCTGAGAATGACAGAAATTGGATTTTCAGTAACTGGAACCTGTTAGCATTTTTTTAGGGATTCTTTGTGTTGAATCTGCATTCCTACTGTTACCCATCGGCCTTAACATCGGTTCAGCTGGTTTCCACAAGATTACCACCCTTGGGAGGCCTACTGTAGACTTGCCTGTCTGCATTTTAAGTACCATACATTTTAACACTATAAAATGTTCCTAGTGTAGACAAGGCCTTGGTGGGTTTTTTCTTGATTCAGCTTGTTACTCTGTCTCCTTAATGGGTTAGCTGAGCCCTACCATGTGCTACTAATAGAAAGCAAGTCTGTTCTGAGGAGTTTGGGGGAATAGAATTCAAATGGTATGGCCTCCTGCTATGAATTCTAGGCAGTATATGCTTAACTTAGTTGGTAAAGCAGACCACTTTTCTTAACAGGTGTCAAGAAATCTGAGCTCCCATCAAAATGGTCTTCTTTTTATGACTGTCCTAATTCTGCCTATGAGCATGGTAGAAGTTTGCCTTTCAGCATGTTCTATTCCTTCTGATTGTCCACCATGGGAGAGACTGTTAGGCCACTGTTGGATTTACCAGTGTGACACACCATCAACACTTGAAGTTACACTTAGGAGGAAAGCTTGGAAGGCCTGGAAATGGAAGAGCGCTCGCTAGACGATATCTAGATAGCTTACAATAACTCTTGTATGTAGGCAATGAAAAGGCATTGACCTCAAAGTACTATTGGAAGGACTGCACCTGATTTACTGACATCTAGAAGGTTACCTAGCCTTTGTTGTTTTAAATTGAATCCAGGCAAAATGAGATGAATGCTTTTCTTCAGACTTGCTACAAAGCCATGGCAGATAATAGACTGACTTGACTCTATGGCATGCAGTCTCCTTGACTGGATGTATTGGTGTGTTAACATACTCCTTCAAGAGGTGGTTGATCTGAATATCCTTTTAGCTGTTTAGAGATCCAGAGTGTCTTGGCTTTGGGCAACGCCAGCAGAGCAGATGTCAGGCTGAGTAGCATAGCCACAAATCGGCAAATGTTCTTCCTGCACGGTGTACGTGAGGCAACACTGAACAGAGGAGCTTGAATGAGATGTGAAGAAAAATACTATCTTGAAAAATAAAGGGCATAGATAACCTTCAAGTGCTGTTTCTTCATACATCTGTTCCTTTGGGGAAACCCTTTCCATTGCCTTTCACCTGCTTGCTTCTTTTTAGACATGTCTTCCTATATGTTTGCACATTTTGGATGCTACTATTATAAGAGGTAGAAGTTCTCGATTCTGAATCTTGCTTTCTTTATGAAAAAATTGGGGTCCTTTTTATGTTTTTATACATGGCTCTTCACCACAGTTTGTAGCTGCCAAAGGCATCCTGTTTGTTTGAGGTGTTATGAAGAACCTGAAGTATGTGTCTTGAAGTTATTCTTAGGAGGAAGGGTATGTGTTCCATGGCTGAGGCCCATGTACTCAATGGCTACTGAACCCAACTTTTATGATAGAGTCCCTGGATTCTGTGGAACTCTTATGTGACAGAGAAGAAATGTTGCAGCAGCTACATGAAAATGAAGAAATTTGTAACAATCAAAATCAATAATGCAATCAGCCCAGTGTCTCTAGTGGTGTCTGATCACCTCTCTACCTGGAGTTGAGGAGCACCTCTAGAATTAGGATAGGATCAGACTGGATATTTCTCCTAAAATGATGTGTAGCAAAATAGCTAAGTGTTTGTATTTTGCTTTGTCACTCAGGAAATGGAGATGAATGGGGCCATGAAAGATCTTGCCAGTGTCCATCAGCAAAAGTAGAGCAGTCAGGACCGTTTGTTTCTGACAAACAGCAGAAAAAAATTGAGTGAAAATTAGGACACAAGGTGTGGGGGAGTGTGATGAGGCAGAGGTGGCAATAATGAATGTGGGATATAGAATGAATGTGAAGTGAGTCATAGAGGAGGAAGGAGTGAGTGAATGAAAGGATAGATGGAACAAAGGAGAGGAGAAAGTAAGAGGGGGAGGGATTGGAATTAAAGTTTTGGTCATAAACTTTATACTGGCACTCAGATGAAAAGATAGAAGGAACATCAATAAAACTGTGTCTTGCAATACTAATATGGTCCTTGTTATCTGCATCTGTACATTTACTGTGATATCATCACTGTCTGCTGGTTTAGCAAATCAGTTGCTTGAAGGTGCAACCCTATCAAACACACTAGCTCAAAAACAAGGAAGACTTAAATGTACGTCCTGAATTTTTTTTGTAATGTTAATTTAGCTACCAAGATTATTTTTGTAGTGTGCCATAGTATATCGAATGTTCATGAAATTATTCACAAAATACTCTTGAAAAATGCTTGTAATTGCGTGTTGTGTCTTATACAATACTTGTTTCTTCTACAGGTATTGTTGGTGAAGCAGATGAAAATGGGGAAGACTATTATCTTTGGACCTACAAAAAACTTGAAATTGGTTTTAATGGAAATAGAATTGTGGATGTGAATCTGACAAGTGAAGGAAAGGTCAAATTGGTTCCAAATACCAAAATCCAAATGTCATATTCAGTAAGTAATGCAGGAATATACAGGGGATAAGAAATTCTGCAGGGTATAGTACATTAGGAATAGTTACTCACATATCCAAAATTCAAAATTGATGTCTGCGTTTTTACAGGGAAAGCTATCATAAGTGAAGATGCATCTTTTCCATAACTTGCAGTTTGTAGAATTACATTTTAAATGCTGATATTATGCATTTAAAACAACTAACTGAAGCATGTAAACAGGGTGGCTTTAATGTGGGTTCATGGTTCAGTTGCACCCACAGAAATCATGAAACTAGGGGTGTAAAACCAGGCAAACATTCATTTCCCCCGGAGCTGTGTGGAGGGAGGCGGTGGCCGTGGGGGAAGGAGGAGTATTGGAGAGCGAACCCATCCCACACTCACCGCTCAGCAGCTGCTCCTGTCCCACGGGACTGAGTGTTGTGACCTGATGCACAGGATTGCAGTGCCACTCACTGAAATTTGGCCTGGCCGTCGTCCTGTCATGGCTTTAGAGAAATGCAAAATGTGTCTGAAAGTGTGCATATATTGGTCTTTTCCTATGTCATGTTTCACGCCTAATGACACTAGCGTACTTGGAATCAAATTTCAAATCTACAAGTAACGTTCATATCTAGTTCACAGGTTTGTTTGTCCCAGGGCAGTTTACATCAATGAGTAGTTGAATGACCTATGTGACAGATGACAATGGTATCTTAGTCCGGTTCCTAGTGCAGAGCAAGGTTCCCCCTAAATGGGCAAACAGGGACCATGATCTGATCAGCTTCTGCTCTGCTGAGGTGCTTTGTCACCAGGAGGCATCTCTCTCCTGCTTGGGAGGAGAGTTCCCACAGCTGCCAATTCTGTTGCTGGCATTGGGAAGAAGCTTGGCCTGAAGGTCTCAGTATGCACCCACCAATGATTGAGGAGAGGGGAAAGCACCCCAGGGCCTCCTGGATGTAGCAGAAAAGAGGAAAAGTAAGAGTATTGAAAGTAAAAGCAGTTTAATGTTGTGGTTTATTTAATGAACTGTATGCTAACAGTACATACACACACATGCGCGTGCTTGCTTATGTGTACCTTCCACTACACTGCTTTACTTTAACAGACAGTCTCACATTTACACCTAAAGTACTTAGTTATTAACACTAACACATCTACCTAATATATTAGATTTTCTTAACATAATGGATTTTTCTTTGAAGAATTTAGCTGCCACCCTGTGGCAAATCTCTGTTGAGCATGTCCAAAATGCTTTTTTTTCAAAAGCTTGTAACATGACTAAATTTGGGTGGATTTTCAAGGGGCTGGGAAAAGGCATGTCCCTCCATCTGGGGCAACTGTTGCCAAACGTAAGTCCTTGCTCCAACACAGAGGTACTAGAGCTTCTGCATGAAACTGTTATTTAAGAATTTTAACTTGGCAAAGCGTCTTTCCTTAATAACCTTATTCCAAGAACAACTGAACTGTTTCAGCAAAAACTTTCCAGAAACATTTAGTTTGAGGCAGACACCTGGCACGAGAACGTCTGCCTGAATAGTTACTTTGTCAAAGTGACAAGTAACCAAAAACAGGACTTGAAATGGAAAGTGTAAGGCGCATATAACAATAAAAAAAAGAACCATGGTTGAGGACTAAGGCTATGTCTACACTTAAGCCATTACAGTGGTGCACAGCTGCAGCACTGCAGCTGCACCGTTCTAGCACTTCAGTGTAGATACTTACTATGGCGACAGGAGGGGTTCTTCCGTCACTGTAGTTAATCCACTGCCCCTAGAGGCGATAATTGAATTCTTTTGTCAATGTAGTGCTGTCTACCCTGTGGGGTTAGGTTGGTTTAACGATGTCGCTCAAGGGTGTAGATTTTTCATACCACTGAGCAACGCAGCTGGGTCGACCTAACTCTGTAATGTGGACCTGGCCTACGGGTACCCAAGACTAATCTTCTTCCTTGTTCTTAGATGTGCTTTCTCAGATGAGGGTTGGAGTAGTTTTGCAGGGCAGCATGGGGAAGTACTCATTGCTGTTGCTTATGCTCTCCCTGTTCTGTAGATTTTAGTCTTTAGGGGCTGTCAGCCCAGCTCCTTTTGCTATCTCATAAATTCATTTTTAAACTGAAGAAAAAAGTCTGAAATGGACAGTTTCTAAATCCCTATGGATTTATGGCCGAGCAAGTATTGTGGGCTTCTCAAGTATAAATCTTTTCTATCTCCAGGTGAAATGGAAAAAATCAGATGTGAAGTTTGAAGATCGATTTGACAAGTACCTTGACCCATCTTTCTTTCAACACAGAGTATGTAGTTCTAAAACAACCATACAAAACTTCCTTTGAAATGTACTCTGGTTCAGAAAGGCCAGTGGAACAGTTTTCCACGCTGCTCCAAATGCTTCTGTTGTAGTGATAAAGGAGAGGTAAAATGTTTTGGAGGTAGCTTTGTGCCTTTTGAGAAGGGTGCAGATAAAATACTTAAAAATGTAAAAATGGCTCAATCCAGTTGATTTTATTTTTAACATGAGGCTACTTGTGGAATAGCACTCTTCATGGGAAAACTTTTCTCTGCAGCACCCGGTAAGTTAAGAAGGCAGCATGTATGAATTCTTATGAACAGTTACTCAAGTGTAAAGATGCCAGAGATGCAGTAGGGAGCACACATTGTGCTGCTTCATGAGAAAATGCTGTATAGAGGCTTTCTGACTGATTCAGTCTATCTGAAACTGTCCCAGTAGCCTTCTTACTCTGCTCCCCTGCTATACTTGTGTCCCGCTCCCATCCCCTCTCCTAGCAGAGTACAGTAAACAGTTGTTCTGCCTTGATATGTCCTAAGCAGCATTAATGTTATGCTCACAACAGAAGAAGGTAAATGGTGCTGAATCAGTATCGCTGTGGACCTATCAGTTGCCCACTCTATTTACTGGTTGTGTTTTTGTTTTGAATTGGGGAAAAACAACAATCCTTTTGATTTAGACAGGTAAGCTGCACTTTTCATTGAAGCAGACAGGTAGCAGCTCGAATTATGGTATTGAATTCTCCTAAAGCCGTTTACTGCCATTGTCCCATTTGGGATTTCAGGGTGGAGTTGGAGTAGAATTTGGATGAGGTTTTTAAAGATCAGCGGCTTACTGTCTGCTGTGGCAATCGTCCTCTGCCTCTTTTCCACTTTGTATGAACTTGTGAAATGATTGTAGCAGTATGAAAATATTAATAACTGAAAATCTCCAGTGTCATTTTGATAATAAGGCAAAATGGCTCTTCTTTCCCATGTTAATAATGAGAACAGTTAATGGACAGTGGAACAGTTTCACAGACTGCTGAAAGTGCTAACAGCACAGTGAACAGGTATGGGGGAAGTGTACATTTTTCATGCTAAATCCTGATTTATTTTTCTCGGGTAGAGAATTAACCAGTGCTAGAACAAGAGATGAGCTCAAACTGAAGTCCCTGGTCTCTGGGGAAGTTCATATCTTGATCTGAACTTGGGGTGGGCACATCTCTAGTTAAAACTACTTACAAGCACTCTGTACATAGCTCTTCTTCTGGTAAGGTAGATGTTAGTTACTGGCTGATTGTCAATGTGTTTTTCAATTTTGAACAGGGAGATGTATGTTGGGCCCCTTAGCTGCAAAATATGACACTGCTTTTCAAGTTATAAATTTTTCCAAGGAATGTTCTTATGATTTTAAAATAGTCCCTGCAATACTAAATTCCAAAGTTGGTAGCAACTATAATAAATGTCATATCTGGGTTGTGTGTGGTTTTTTTGAGTGGCATTTTTGAGGTAGGTTAGAATTATTCAGCATTGGAAGGATATTTTAAATAAATTAAATGTTAGTTACTCCCAGAGCTAATAACTTTCATTGTACATTGTGCCACACTTTTGACCTGACCTACAAACTAGTTTGCCACGATTTCATCTCATGTAGTAACAGATGTAGGAATGTTTCCCATGGTCAAGCTCAACTTTTTCCTTAGGTCTTGCAAAATTCAGTCCCATTCAGATTACTATTCCTAGTCTGATGCATGACATTGCAGCATGAGCTATGCTGGTAATGTTTTTTACAATAGAATCATTCTGGAGCGGAGAGGTAGCAGACAGGTAAATAGCATGACCTGACGAAGAGCGCTTTGTTAGTTTGAAAGCCTCTCTCTCACCAAGAGAAGTTGGTCCAATAAAATATATTACCTCACCCATTTTGTCTCAGGGAAATAGCATGTTACTTTATGATGTGGTTTTGCAGCATTGATTGTTTTGTCTCAAATGGAAACAAAATATTGCAACTGTGGTATAGCTTAAAACTGTTAATGGTACTTGACCCGTCTGCTATTCAATAGGATGGCTCGAGGTTCCAGTAAAGTGCCTATTGGGATTTCAAATCAGAATGGGAATCTTCTGGACTGAATGCCTTTGGTTGTAAGAAGGAAAATGTTGAGATTTAACTATTAATGTTCTGTAGCAGCTTAGTTTGACTAATGGACACATTCAACATGTGTTGTGGAAGATGATGAAAACTTGCAAAATTTTGCAAGCTATATTTAATAGGATTTGTGCAAGCTTTAGATAATTCATTGCTACTTAGCACAATTGTTTGTACTGACTCTTATTGGGCACTATGATGTACCTACAGTACTTAAAATTGAGTCTTTTTTTCTTGTAGATTCACTGGTTTTCAATTTTCAATTCCTTCATGATGGTCATCTTTCTGGTGGGTTTAGTGTCTATGATATTAATGAGAACATTGCGAAAAGATTATGCACGATATAGCAAAGAAGAAGAAATGGATGATATGGTAAGACTTGCACTAAGTTCTTAGAAATTTTAGTAAGACCTATTGCTTTTTCTGGTGTTGATTTCATTGGCGCTTATGAATACTTTTCTTCACCAAAATAGAAAATAAATTTGAAATTTGTGGAGAAAATTTGTCTAAGAAGTGGTCAGGGAATTCTCTCCAGAAGAGAATGGCTTTCAGATTTCCCAACTAGAGCAACGTAACTTCCTGTTACAAGAATCGGTTGCTGGCTACTGAGGACTGAATTAGGAAACTTAAAGCTGTTGGGACAGACTGCACAGAGGATTGGTGATGAGACAATAGCCTTTCACTTCTAGGTTGCAGCTTTGAATTCTGCTTAGGGTTGTAGTAGCTGAGAGTTCATAAACTCTGCTGCTTATGAAATGTTTGGTCCACCCAGTCCAGGTGCTAGTTCCTATTTGTTCACATTACCATGGCTGGCACTAGCTGGCACATTCCCGTATAGAAGGGCCAAAAACTGACTGGGTATGGAAACTGAGCTCCCCTCTGGCCCTGCTAGAGCTGGTCCCTCCAACGCATGTGTGAGGCACGTTGGTAGGGCATTGTGGAACAAATGCATTACCATGACTCATTATATATATATATCCTCTTGTGTGGATAAGTTGGGCTTCTGTCCCAGAGCTTTCAAGCAGCCATATTCCACAAGTGCCAATTTCACACATGCTATCTTAAAAAAAAAAAAAAAAAATTAAAACAAACAAAAAAATCCTCCCTATTGGTCCCCTGTGCTTCGGAAGTCTGTGTAAACCCCTAAAGACTGACATTTGTGGGTTGTGGAAGTAAAACCATTCTGAATGGATTTAGCTTTCTACTAGTGACTTTCATTGTGCATTTTATGTTTGTTCTTCATGGAGTATTTGTCCTGTAGAGTTAATTTATCTAGCTTTAAGGATTCCGTTAGGCAGACTTTAATTCATACCTAGCATCTTGGTTTTTCTCACTTATTATTACTTGGCAATGGTATTTATAACTGAACTATATTTTTATACACAGGACAGAGATCTGGGTGATGAATATGGGTGGAAACAGGTCCATGGCGATGTTTTTAGACCATCCAGTCATCCTTTAATATTTTCATCGCTTATTGGCTCTGGTTGCCAAATCTTTGCAGTTTCTTTCATAGTTATCATTGTTGCAATGATAGAGGATTTATACACAGAGTAAGTATATTAATGATGTACCTCCCTCTTTCACATCTGAAAGTTCTTGAGACTTTTTGTATAAACGAAGCTGGTTATGAATTCTATGTACAGTTTCAGTTGAAACCTAAAACAGTGTGTTCCTAATGTTCGAAGGTGACTAGCAAATGTTTTTAATAGAAATTGATTTTGTTGCTACTATATGACTTAACAAAGAAGACCTGAAAAGCTTTTAAGCTTTTCTCATTGCTTGTTTTTATCTTAGAAGTATCAAAATTAAGTCTGGTCTTCCCTGTTTTGCTAGTGGACTTTGTAGGAGGTAAAAAGTCTCAGGATATTTTTTTGAGGTCACACGTTTAACTGAAGTGAGATGCTTAATCTTTAAGGAAGTATTTTTTATTTATTACTTGGACTGTACTCCTGTAGAGAGTTACACATGCGCTTAACTTTACATTTTGTGAGCAGTGCCTTTGATTTCAGGGGGATAGTTCAGTGGTTTGAGCATTAGCCTGCTAAACCCAGGGTTGTGAGTTCAATCCTTGAGGGAGCCATTTAGGGAACTGGAGTAAAAATCTGTCTGGGGATTGGTCCTGCTTTGAGCAAGGGGTTGGACTAGATGACCTCCTGAGGTCCCTTCCAACCCTGATATTCTATGATATTCCATGGGACTATTCACATTACATAAAGTCAAGCACGTGCATAAGTCTCCACAGAATTGGGAACTTTGGCTCTAAGTTTCTTGGGGTAGAGACTCTCTTCAATTTGTGTGTGCAATACATAGAACAGTACAGTCCTGATTGGAGCCCGTACAAATACTTAGGAATGGTCATTGGCGTTAAATACTCATCTAAAACATAACGTGGAGCAACTTAAACTCACTGTTGCGTAGCTATCACCTTGACCATGTTGCTTGGGGGGATGGCTGTCTCTTCCCCAACCTTTTATCTGTTTGCCTTTTTAGATTGTGTCTGCTGGGACTGGACTAGCTTTCTCTGTTTTGGAAAGTAATTAGTATATTTTGGGTGCTGCAACAACATAAGCAATTTTACCAACTATTAGCAGGTTTTTTAAACAGTGACTAAACTTTCTTCCTCAGTTCAGCTTTATTCTCAGTTGCAGGTCATCTGTAACTATATGTATTTGCCACTAGAGGGAACCCGGCTTCCAAATTTAGCTGCCTTGTTTTCCCTTATCCTGTAACACTTTTAAAATCCTGTTGCCTAGTGTGCTTTTCTTGGTTTTACAGTGATTGTCCCCATGGTGCGGATAGCTGAAGAGGAAATTAAATACAATTCTAAGTGTTTTAGAATGCCAGCATTTTTTGGACAGGACCACGCCTAATTTCATGTTTGGAATGTTTGCACATTGTTGTGCTACTAGAAACTCACACTAATAGTGATATCAGATGCATGTAAAACATGTGAGGGGGAAAAAACTGAACTCATATACTTGCATATGCTTACCTGTCCTTTTCCGTGCAGGTGCTCCATGCACAATGAGGTAGCAGTCTGGTTCTCAGAGCACAATTGAGCATTTACTAAGCCCTGATCCAAAAATGGACCTGTAGTAGGAAAATGGTGTGAGCTGAAAAGTGTGATATACCATACTACTTTAAACGGAGTGATCATTTTATGTACTCTGCAGTGCCATAAAATACCCCGTAAACCCTCTCCTGGCACTCTCCATTTTTCACCTGAGAACAAGTGGTTGGCATTTGGTCACATCAGCTGTTAATATTGGATTGTGTTGCAGGAAAGCTTTAGTATTAGGGCTCTTCTGGAATATAAGTCAAAATAGTGGATAAGAAATATCTGCACGGCATTTCAAATTAGAATTCATTGAATGCATTGGAGTTATTCTGGACTACAGTAACATCACTTCAAGCAGAATTTGGACCTGTAGTTTTCATAGTCATCTTTACTTGAACCAATTTAAAAGCAGACTATCACAATTGGCCTCTGTTAACCAATTTTAAAACAGAAATATGGAACTTATTATTAAGAAGCATATAGGCTCTCATGTAGGTTAACATTCTGACTTTTTTTATGCAGCAGGTATATTTGCTTAATTTCAGACCACCACCAAATAGTAGTGGGAGTTTCTAACAGAATGACTCTGACAATACAGTGGTCTGGCTGAAATTCTGCTGTTGGTTACCGCCTCAGCATGGTCAGCTTTTATTGAAGGAAACACTGTTCTATTAATGAGCAGTGCTCGAGTCTGCTTTTGTTATAACCTGGTCAAGGAAATTGTTCTGGGGCTGCCTTTTGTGGCTTAGTGTCAGAGCCTGCTTTGCCCTTAAATGATCAAAGGATGGACCAAAACATGTATGGTTCTGTATCTGTTATATTGATGAGAGGACAACTTGAAAAGCTACTGAACTCTTCTGCTTCAATTTGACACCTTCACTCTGAAGGTGAGCTCCCAGTGCAATGCTGTGGCCAAAAAGATTAATATGATGATCCTTGGATGCATAAACAAGGGAAACTTGAGTTGGAGTGGGGAGTTATATTACCTCTGTATATGGTACAGGTGTGACTGCTACTGTAATACTGCATGTCCAATTCTGATTGCTTCAATTCAAGAAGAATGTTGGTAAATTGGAGAGGATTCAGAGAAGAGCCACAAGCATTGTTAAAGGACTGGAAAACATGCCTCATAGTGATAGACTCAAGGAGCACCGTCCATTTAGTTTAACGAAGAGAAGGTGAAGGTGTGACTTGATCAGTCTGTAGTTGCCTACATGGTCAGCAGAAATTTGACAGAGGCCTCTTCAATCTAGCACACAAAGGTATAACAAGATCCAATGGCTGGAAGTTAAAGCTAGACAAATTCAGATTGGATATAGGATGCAATTTTTTAACAGTGAGGGTAATCAACCATTAGAATGATTTTCCAAGGGTCATGGTGGATTTTCCATCCCTGGCAAATTTTAAATCAAGTTTGGATGTTTTTCTGAAAGATGTGCTCTAGTTCAAACAGGAATTAATAGCAGGTCAAACTAGATGATCACAATGGTCCTGTTTGCCTTTATAATCTAAGAGCCCTGTTGTGTGCCTAATGGGGTTTTAATACAGCATTTGCAATTTTTGAATGTTTTTCCATAGTGTTCTCTAAGTTGAAAACTTCAATTTATTTTCCATTTATAAATTATTGGATTCTAATAGATGGCAGGAAAATCACATGCTTAGGACTTGTGAGAACCAATGTGCAAATGTACACTAGGTGACTCTTCTTAATACTAGTTTTAATGTTTTACTAACAGTAGTTCTTCAGGTAATGTTCCAATGGGTGCTCCACATCAGGATGTGCTCAGCCTGTGCACTCGTTGTTGGAGATTTTTGTTAGCAATGTCTGCAGCTCTGTGCTTGCAGCCTAGATATCCTTGTGCTCCAGTACAAGGATATATAGAGTGGGGATGGACCCACTGCCACTCCAGTCCCTTCTCAACCACCAGCGGCTTGAGATGGAGTGTCGCAGTGTCCATTAGCTAGCCAAGTAGCTTGCTAGCTCTCTCTCTCTCTTTTTTTTCTTTAGGTATCTTTAATTTTTTTTGTTTTTTGTTATTTAGCCCAGTTTCTGCCAAGTGGAGGTACTTTTTCCTCTTTTCTTCTTTGTGTGCCCGATCTGGGCTTTTTGTCCTTGGGCCTTGATCTGTGGCCTTGAGCGTGGGTTATACTCGGGATTCAAACCCTGCCAGACCTGCCATAGGTCTTTTCCCCACAGCAAGAGATATTCAAGCTGCTTCTGCTGCCTGTGAGAGACTCACCTTCCATCCAAATGTAAGATCTGCTAGTCACCCCCTTGTACTTTGGATCCAGTTGTTCAGAACCCTGGTAACAGTCTCTGCTGTGGCAGTTATCAAAGATCCTGGGGGTCCTCTACAACTACTCAGACCCTCAAAGAAGAAAAGACCCAATTCTCCAGAACTAGATAAGGAAGGGGGCAGTCACCCTATTGGTCTGGGTCTCAGGAGATCTCATGTCCTGGTATGGGTGCCACTGAGGCTCTTATCCCCTCTGGTATCCAGACCCTGGCACCAGCTAAGACGACTACACTGTATACCAAGAAGCAGTCAGATAGACAATCTACAGCAGCACTGGCATCAGCACCAGAATCAGTGCCTTCAAAACACATGGACACAGAGCCAAGCCAAAATTTGTTTTCAGTACCATTTTCTGCATCCAGCCAAGAAGGAGGCACTGATAGCGCGTCAGCACTGTCTCCAGTACATTCTGACATACTAACTCCTGAGGACCCCATCCAAAGTCCCTGGTACCATTCAGGCTCCTATTCCATGAGGACTTTTGAATTCTGGAAGAGCCTGAATCACCGTTGCTGAGAGTTAGAGATGCTTTGTTGGTACCAACTCACATCCTGGAGCCTACTTGCCCTCTGATCCTACCATGTTCAACAGTGACTTGTCCTCTGCTACCCACACAGTCACCAGTTCCACATAAACTCTTTGAGTACCAAGACACATTTCCAGCGAGTATCGACACATCCTCTGGCACTGTCTCACCAGCCAATTAAGCATTGAACTCTGGTATTCATGCAGTTACAGGACCCTTTCTTGCCCCATATCGGCTCAGTCACTGGAACTGACACCACTTGCACCTCCAATGGACATGGGTGATGATACCTCATCCAGTTCTGAGGTGTCTATATAAGGGTCCTCCACCTTCCCTCCAACCTCCCTCCCTCCCTTGAGGTACACCCTAAGGAGTAATATCTCATGAGGAGATAGACCCAGGAACCTTGGACTCCTACCACCTTCCCTTATGTCCCACAACAGTATGCTTATGGAATCCCCAGGGCTCCATATGACAGCCAGTTCTGCAGGGTCCCATCTTGTAAAAGGGCATGCCAGGAGCAACAGCATCACCCTTGTGTCCTGTTCCACAGGAGTACCTTGCAAAGCAGCAGGAGCCAGTGAGGAAGAAGAAACATAACCTTTGCATAAATCCTTCTGCTCACCAGGTGAAGCTGTCATGCCTCCTCCATCTGCTGGCATTTCCAGATCAACTGTGAGGGGAAGCTTAACAATGAAGTGTTCAGAGAGAGATATCTTTACTTGGGGTCATCCAGAGAGAGAGAGAGCTGACAACAATTCTGCTTAGGGGGAAGGCTGCAATTCTATGGATGATTCCTTGGCCTTATATATTGCTAAACACTTATCTCCTGATTCCTTTAATGTTCAAGGTGCTAAATAAATTGAAACAGGAGAAAATATTAGCTGTCCTCATAGCACAGTTGTAGCTGAGACAGGTGGTGTTCCCAAGCGTGGTTGGCATGCCTCTTTAACTGCCTCACCATCTTCCCATGACAGCGAAATGTTTTCACTCAAGAGTTGAGATCCATCACCCTCCCCAATTTCCCAATGGTTCAACTCAAGATGTGGGTGCCAGATAGTTCTCTGGTATAGAAAAAGCTTGCTCTCCAGAGATACAAACAGTACTGTATAATAGCAAAAAACCAATGCAAGGAAAACTTATCTACAGAGGTGGAAATGCACCTAGCCTGGAAGCAGCCTCTGATCTGTACCTCCTCTCAAGTCCTGTCTGTCATACATTCTTGGGTATCCGCTGACCTTAAAAACCAGAGGGTTATTGCTGAGCTCCATTAAGGTTCACCTAGCTCCCACCACAGCTTTTCAGCCCCCATCGAGGAGTTTTCAGTCTTCACCCACCCGATCACTACAAGCTAAATCAAAGGCCTGTTCAACCTCTTTCATCCTGTCAAGGAGGCAGCTCCACTGTGGGACCTCAATTTAGTCCTCCGTGTGCTGAGGAAATCCCCATTTGAACCTGTGGGGAACTGTTCCCTCCTTCATTTGTCCCTCAATACCACTTTCTTACAGCCATCACCTCGGCCAGGGGGGTAGGGGAGCTTCGGGTCCTCACTGCTGACCCATCATATGTGGTGTTCTATCATGATCAGGTGATGCTACATCCACACCCTTGCTTCCTACCTAAAGTTTCTTCAGACTTCCACATTAATCAAGAGATTAACCTACTGGTGATTTATCCCAAGCCTCACGCTTTAAGAGAAGAAATGAGTCTCCATTCTCTGGACGTAAAAAGAGCTCTTGCCATTTACCTCAATAGGACTAGACTCTTTGGGGCTCCCCATAGCTTTTCATCTCAATTGCAGAATGAAACAAAGGACATCCGATTTCCAAACCAAGTTTGTCCCAATGGGTTGCAGAATGCATCTTAACCTGTTAGGAAGCCTCAGGGGTTCTCCCCTCTGCAAGGGTGATTAGCTGTTTCACCAGGGCTCAATCTACCACTGTAGTCCTACTGAAAAACATACTTGTCTCAGACATATGCAGGGCAGCCACCTGGTCTTTTGTGCATGCTTTTTCCCAGCACTATGCACAATGGTCTGGTACTTGCTTCCAGAGCTGATGCGACTTTCACGAACACTGTTGTATGGTCCATACCAAATCTGCAGCCTCGGCACCCTCTTCTGTAGTTGGGGCTGCTGCTCGGGTATCTCCTGATTTGGAGCACCCATAGGAACACTCTTTGGAGAAGGAGAGGTTACTTACCTTGCTCAGTAACTGGAGTTTTTCAAGATGTCCCCCGCTATGGGTGCTCCGCTACCTGCCCTCTTTCCCCTCTGCCTCGGAGTCCGCTGGATTTCCGTGGCTGAGAAGAAATTGAAGTGGCAGTGGGTCCACCCTCCCCTATAGCCGTATACTAGAGCATGAGGCTATCAAGAGTACACTTCTGTACCCTCAGACACTGTTGTTGAAAATGTCTGATCAAAAGTGTGCACACATCAGGACATGGAGTACCCATAGGGATACATCTCGAACAAATCCAGTTACTGTACAAGGTAAGTAAATCTCCTTCCCCTTTATCTGCAGATATGCCATACGTTAATTTAAGTGTTCCCACTAAGCATTGACACTAGAAATGTTTTGAGCAATGTGCTATATTATTACAATGGCTACACGTGTTACATAGTTCGGTTCTTATAACATAGGGCTTATAAAAAATCAAAATACTTCGGTCAAAGGTGATATTTTCTGCCTTTATTTCTAATGGAATTAAGCATATCGGGGGGTGGGAACCACACTGTACTAATTTTAGTTGTTTTAGCCTGGTCAAATGAGGCTGGTGAGCAGCTTTGAATGGAAACAGTTATTTTCACTGTAAATAGTAAACTTGAGACACATCTAATTGATTAACTTTTACTTTTGCACTAGCTAAAAATAGCAATTATATTTCTTCTGATAACTATGCCTGTTTTACTGTGAATATTTTGCTGTAATATAAATTGAGTTTTTGTATTTCTATTGGCATTACAAAAAAAAGTCTTTTTATTTTAGGCGAGGATCAATGCTTAGTACAGCTATATTTGTTTATGCTGCAACATCCCCAGTGAATGGATATTTTGGAGGAAGCCTTTATGCTAGACAAGGAGGTAACTTGTTTTTAAATGTCAGCATTTTTTATCATACTATTTTATATAGAAAGTTTATTCTGTTTCCTGGTATAAACAGCACAAACATGCATGGTCTTTTACAGGTGGTGTTTAGGTAGTTAATGAAGTCACATGAAATCCATAGTTTTTAATCAATACAAGAGATTTTGAATCTAAATGATGCTTCATTTCCTGTTCATTCTTGGTTGCATGTCCTATATTAAAGCTTGCTAAAACCTTGGTAGTATCTATTTAAATCAATAAGGAATATAAGGATGTTAACTGTGGTAGCCTGGTCAAATTCCAACTTGAGTAATTACATTCTGCCTGTTGAATACCCCCTATGGTACCAAATGGATAGGCTAACCTCCTGTTCCTGTGTGCTGTTAAACAGCTTGTGTGTTCTACCCCTGAGTTGGCCTTTAGTTAGGGTGACCAGATGTCCAGTTTTTAAAAGGACAGTTCCTTTTTGGGAGACTTTTTCTTATATATGCGCCTATTGTCCCCCACCCCCTGTCCCGTTTTTTTCATAGTTGCTATCTGGTCACTCTACCTTTAGTGGCTGAAGTGATCCCTGTTATCACTTTACCTTCTCCATAGGGACCTTGAGGCGCAATGTTTACAAAGAGTGAATGGAAGGGGCTATAGAAGTGCACAGTGTTATTTACTGCATTGTGCCATTCTTTATGGTATGAAGAATAATCTTCCTGGAATCTTAGCAAAACATTCATTCCATTTATTCAGCTTGTAATCAGTTTCTACTTCATCAAATGCAAAAGTGAATATCGGTAATCAGCAAAAGCCCAACAAGTTAAGTAAAGTTGGGCAGGCTATAAGCAGCCTTCTCCTTATAGCCCTACCAATGCTTCTGAGTTCTGACCTGCAATGCCTCTGCCATTCCTCCAGCCTCCCTCTTCTCCTGTGTTGCAATAAGAGAATAGTTAATATTTATTTTTATTCTACTAAACACTAAGAAAATTGATTTTGTTGAATTTTTAAAACAGAAGCTTGTATAATTTTAGCAAGAGATGCTGATCAATGCTTCGTTTTCTACAGCATCAGTCTCCCTGCTATCTGAGATTTTGGAAAGGTCATAAATGTCTAAGGCCTTGTCTACATGCAGTTTTTCTACCAATTTAATGACATCTGTAGAAAACCAGATCAGTTTTACCAGCATTGGGGTGTTACGCCTGTATCTCCAACTCAAGCTAGATTACTCTAAAGGCCTATACTAGAAGGTTGCATTAATTTTATCTGCTTTCTGCTTTATCTGCTTTCTACAGATCTGGCTAAATTGGTTACAAAAACTGTAGGCAAGCCCTAAAATGCTTTTGATGCTCTTGCACAATGGAACTTTGTAGTCCATATGCAATTCTTGAAACTATATGTTGGTTTCTTTGCTGCATTCTATTCAGTAAGCTGCACAGATGCATCCAGACACTGAGTGTTTAAATAAAGTTAGCACAAATTCACAGATTAATAGCAGATGCGGGAGATTCAGTCAAGACTGGAGTAAGGCAGTCACAGAGAGGTCTTGCACAAGACCGCAAAACAAAGGTCTGCAAGGTTCCTTGAATACCCAGGCATAGCAGCAAATCTGTTACAATCTGTCTGGATTGTGGAAGACCTTTACCTGTTGACTTGTCTTACTCTCTTGTTGGAGATGCCTATTATAGTGAATTAATTCTTGTTACTGAGTTTATTAAACTTGGTATCATTTAACACCAGTAGTGTTAGGTGCTTTACTGAGATATGAAGACAATAGGTAACATTTTCAAGAGCCCTACTAAGTGACTTCAGAGCCCTTGAGCACTTCTGAAGATGGGGCTTTTAAATCATTGAGGTGCTTTTGAAAATGTTACCCAATAGTCCGGTCTTTTGAAAAACTTAGTCTTTAGATATACAGACAGGAGGAGGACAGGGCAATGGAGGGAAGGGAATAATGCTGAGCAATGTGATTAAATAGTGAAGCTAAGCACGTGTCTTAACTACATTATTGTAGTGTGGTGTTTTAAACCTGCACTGCCATTCCTGTTGCATTTAACTGGTCACTTAGGCCTGGTCTACACTACGACTTTAATTCGGATTTAGCTGCGTTAATCCGAATTAACCCTTCACCCGTCCACACTACAGAGCCAGTTAATTCGAATTAAAGGGCACTTAAAATCGATTTCTGTACTCCACCTCGACGAGCGGAGTAGCGCCTAAATCGATTTTGTTAATTCGAATTAGGGTTAGTGTGGCCGCACACCACCGAATTACTGTGGTTAAAGTAATGGGGTAGTGTGGCCGCACACCACCGAATTAATGTGGTTAAAAACCCGAATTAATGTGCTTAGTGTGGCCGCGCACAATCGAATTTATACAACCTGTTTCCCAAATTCGAATTATCTAAATTCGGATTAATCCTGTAGTGTAGACATACCCTTAGACGTTTTACAACAGAATTGGTGCCTATTGATGCAAGGAAACAATTTCATGTATAAACACCCATCAGTAGTGTTTCTAAACATTGTTTTTTTTTTTAACGTATAAGCTTTGTTTTACACATTCTTATTAGCGTTTCCCATTGTAGGCTGTTGTTACCCTCCCACGTCCATATTTCCATAAAGAATGGTTATTGTTTGTGAAATCAAAAGGCTTGATTAAAAGTTAAGTACAGTTTAAAAGTTTACCTTTGCTCCTGTGTATGTTAGCTAGTACTCATTTAATTCATTTTGGAAAAAAAGGCTAACTACTTACATTCTGGCAAACTTGTGGCAAAATGTGAACTTTAATCAAAGTGCAGCATGTTTTATCAATTACAAATATGTTTAATGTTTTCTTCCTACAGGAAGGCGATGGATAAAGCAAATGTTCATTGGGGCTTTCCTTATTCCAGCGATGGTGTGTGGCACTGCCTTCTTCATTAACTTCATTGCCATCTATTATCATGCTTCACGGGCTATTCCCTTTGGAACAATGGTGAGTAGTTAATAGAACTTGAAACAGCATAGCAGACCTAGGAAAATTTAGCTTCTAAACTGGGAGAGCTTGTATTCTTTGTCCCATCACCTCAAAGTAGAAAAATGAAGTTCAGGTACTGAGATTTCAAAGATCAGTGTCTCAAATTTGATAAATAATATAGAAAATCCACATGTTTGTGTTACAGTAGTTTAGAAAACTGCTGTTCTTGCAATAACACTTAACTTGAAATATAATATAATAGTTGCAATTCAGACTAAAGAAACCAGTTCACTGTAGTTGCTAATTGTTAAAAGGAATTTTCTGTTTGTAGTTGAAAATTTTAACAAATCTCAGAATGATCACATTTTTAATTGCATGGAGCCAGATACATACTCAAGTCCCATTCACTTTTATTGGGAAGAAACATGGGATTCTTACTTTCTGGGCCTGGGAAAACAAGGACATCCAGAGAATGGGGATGTGAATGCCACTCCATGCTTTTTGGAGTGTGCCTGTTGGTGTCCTTGGGGGAGGTTTTCAATTCTTTTGTCTTAGCTTTAGAATGAGCATTGTGAAAGCAGCAAGTCGAATGATGGTGATGGACAGGATATAGGTCATGGCCGATGGTAGTAGGGTGGGTGGGTGGATGGATAGGACTGAACCAGTTCCCCATTCATAGCACTCTTCTCAAAACCATTCTACTGTCGAGTCAACTAAAACAGTGTTGAAACTTCACTTTGATAATACTTACAACTTAAGACTTTTTGTCCAAGTATCTTAGTGTTTCTCAAATACTGATTAAATCTAAAAACACTACTGGGAAATAGGCTATAATATTATCCCCATTTTAAAGATGCTGTGCTACTTGTATACTTTTCTTCCCTACACCCCCTTAATGTCCAAAGTTGAATTTACCTGGATTCAGGGCCCTCAATCATTGCCTCTCATGTCTCTGGCATCTATGGTCTTGTTCCTTTTTTATCCCCCTGCAGCTTCTGTTGCATATTTTCCAAATCCTTGCCCATTCACTCACTTCATTGTTTCTATACACTCTCTTTCTCTCTCAACCATGATTAGTGTTTCACTTCACAGGAAAAGTGAAGTGATTTGGTATAACTGCTTCACATGTGAGGAAGCCAGTTGAATGTCATAAACCAGGCTTAATTATTAATTTACTTACCCTTCGAAATGATGTCAAACAGAACATTGCTTTTGGTATGGCGTTTGTCTTAATTACCTTAACAGATTCACAGCTGCTAAGTTAACAGAAACACCATCCCTCCAAATGTGTGGCATTTGTTACCTTGTAAACAAGCCCCAGTTATAGCTGAATCCTTGGAATAAAAGTGGGAGATGGTGACCTGTTTATTCCTAAAGACTGATGCAGGCTATTTATAAGCCAAGGTACAACACAAAGCCAATCCAGTTGAAAGCCACTTCTAAGCCATAATGATTAAGTACAAGAATCTATACAATAAGATTAGAATTCCTGTAGTGTTCCTGTAGAACACTTTCCTTTAAAAAAAAAAAAAATTTTTGCACTTACAACCAGCTCTGAAATAACCCTTTGTGATAATGTAAGAAAAAGGATTTGGTCGTGGATAGAGTTCATGTTCCAACTGCCAAGGCATAATTATAAATTTGTAAAAGAAAATTTTTGGGAATGTGCAGTATGAAAAATGTCTTCTAATGTGTTAACATGTGATGCAGCAGCAGCTTAGATTTAGACCAGTGGTGGGCAACCTGCGCCCCGTGGGCCGTCAGGGTAATCCACTGGTGGGCCGCGAGACAGTTTGTTTACATTGACCGTTCGCAGGCAATGGCCGCGATTCACCGTTCCCGGCAAGTCGGAGCAGCAGGAAGCTGCGTGGGCCACAAGGACGTACTTTAAATTGCATTTTCAAAAATCAATGTGAAGATGAAGAATGGAGGATGCAAAAATTGAAGAATGCAGTTTAAAAGAAGTTGTTCTATTTCACAGTCAAGAGGTCTTCAGGAATTTTCCATTGAGAGGGAATACATCAAGTGGCCTATCTAAAATATTGGCAATAGAGAGAATTGTATCCAAAAATTTAGAATAAGAACCTTAATATCACCTTTAACATGAAGTATTGTGCTAGCCATGGGACTTAAAATAATCAATGTAATATAAAGCTAAAGGTGTTTGATTCATTCATCCATTGAATCACTTTCAATCTGAATGTCTTTTTAGGGAGCAAGGTTTAGAATTTTAATTTTTGCCATGTCAATGTTAATCAGTTTATGCTAAAATGGAATATTGTATTGGTTTTTCTGTGCTGAGACAACAGTCATATCCAACTCTGTCAGAAAGGCTTACAGCATTGATCTTTGACATGTGCAAAGAGGCTGTGTTTTACTGCTGAGCAAGCATTCACAATATCACATTTCTCATTCGTATTCTGATTTGGAGTTTAGGAATGCTGATGGAAGGGAATTCCACCTGCATTGAAATTTTAGTCTAGTGCTGTTCCACTCATTTTCATTTTAAGATCAGGGAAATGTTTGTGCAAAAGCAATTGAGAATGGGGTCTTCAAGGGTCATGTAATGGGTGTGTAGGGTTCCTTATGCACAGAGTGATTTTAATAATCTCTAGGGATTATGAATTTGTTTGAGTCATAATTACTGTGTGGTGATAAATCTCCCTTCACTTTGCAGACTTTTAGTAGGAGCAAGTTATGGATTAGAAACGTCACCAGAACAATCAATGATCTAATGAATTTTAATCAGCTAATGGAGTTGATTTGTAGAGGGAAAGAGAAAAGAGCTTAGTTTCCTCACAGTAAATACCTGTGCTCTTGTGAGCCTCTCTCTCCTTGTGCAGATGTGGTTTCTCTCGCCTCCCCAAAGTGGGCAAGCCTCCAAAAGTCTCTAATGGCAAGCTTGCTCCTCCTTCATGAAATGAATATCCCTTTTCCCAAACTACAGCAGAGGTGAGAGGTGACACTCCTACTCCATGGTGGTCTTAAATAGTCCCCCTACCTCATATTGCTTGCTAGGTCTACTCTTCCTTGTTATGTATTGCAAATGTGGAGAAAACATAAATTGGATGGTCATGGAAGAACACTGAGTGAAACAGGTTCAGTAAGAAATTGCAAAACTCTCCCATTCAAATCTTGCAGCAAAAGGCTCAATCTGTCCCTCCTTTTTTGGTGATCTGCCCCAACCCCTGTATCTCCCAGGAAGCATAGTGCCAGAAACAAGAGGTAAAGCCTAGTTACTAGCTGTCTACATTAGTACCCTGCTATGGCATCTGGATTTTAGGAAGCCCCTCACCTAGCTCTCCTGTTTTGAGATTGGCTGAACCTCCATAGCCACTGAAGGGTCCTTGCTTAGAGCTCACTGTAACACTGGTCTACTTTGAATCTCTCAAAGCTTCCTCTGCTACCTTGCGCATCAGCCCTATCTGGAATCTGACAGGAAGTGGAAAGTTAATAAGATCTCCCCCTATAATCCTAAACTAACTTCCCTGGCTGTAGGCCTGGGATTCTATTCTTGACTCTCATGGATGTACACATGCTCCTTAATCAACAGTAGGGAAAGTCTTGTGTAAGGAGAGGATAAAGTTCTAGGCTCTCTTCCTGGAAAATGTTTTTCCATTGCCTTTCCCATCAAAATGTAATAATGAAGCTGACCAATTTTATTCTCTCTTTTCAAAGCTTTTAGAAAAGGGTTTAAAGAATCCTTCTGGAGCACTTCTATTAAACCTATGGTATGTAAGGAGAGGGTCTGATTCCTGCTAGCCGCTAAACATGTTTGGAAACTGACTGCCCAGTGTCTAACTCAGAGGTGGGCAAACTTTTTGGCCCGAGGGCCACATCTGAGTGGGGAAATTGTATGCAGGGTCATGATTGTAGGGCTGGAGCAGGGGGTGCGGGAAGCGGTGCGGTATGCAGGAAGGGGCTCAGGGCAGGGGTTTGGGGTGCAGCAGAGGGTTGGAGGCTTGGTGCAGGAGGGATGCGGCAGCTGGCTCAAGGCAGAGGGTTAGGGGGCTCAGGGCAGGGGGTGCAGGAGAGCCGTAGTTTGCCCTCCTCTGATCTAACTCCATGTTTGTAGCAGTAACAATGGGGGATGTTACTGTGACTCTGCCTTTTCAGAGCCTAAGTTTTTATTTTTCAATCTTCTTAATTTTTTATTGTACTTCGAGAGGATCTGGGATTCTCTTGATGCTGTAAGATACTTTGACTTATCTTGTAATCTTCCTGTGCGCTCATGCGCCAAACAGTCACATCATATACACGTCTGTTTTATTTTCATGGAAAGACATTGGGTTTGGTCTAGTCCTTTTCTCTATCTGTGGTGTTCTTACATTTCTGGTAAAATTATCTTGTGTTAATAAATTTATTTCCTATTGATTTGTTTAATCGATCTGTCCTATTGTTTATGAATAACTTGTATTTTGGTCAGGAAATCCTCTTGAAATATAAAGTTGAGCTATTTCTGTTGTGGGAAATTGCATAGTTGTCACTGCTGTTGTTTTTTCCCTTGCTTCTTATAGATGGAATAGGGCTGGTGAATAGATTTACCAACAGGGTTCTTGTGGCAAGAGATTCTTAACAAGGGCTGACATAGGACAGAACCACAGATGTTCAGAGCAAAATATTTTAACGTGGAGAATTGTATTTTTGAGGATTACCATGAACTTTCCCTTATAGTAAGGGGCTGGGATGAGGACAGGCTGGAGGGGCTAGAGGCAGAAAGGTCTGTAACCACTAGAGTACACGCCCCAAGCATCTGGAATAGACCCCAGTAGTCTGGAGTCTCAGTTCCTCTGCTGTCAGCAAATAACTGTGAAACTCAATTGCAAAATGTCTCTTCCTTTAATGGTGGTTTCACATACAGGATGACAACGTACTACTGCACTCAGTTAATATTAGCTCAAGTGGCAGATGTTTGTGCTGTGGATCTAAAATTGATGTTCCATGTTGATGTTCCATGTTGGTGTCAGTATAATTCCACATTAGGGGATTTCTGTTTTGTTTGCTTTTTAAAAACCTAG